AAGACAGCTTCAGAGAAAAATTTCTTTTATGAGTTAGAAAATAATTATTACATATGACACAAACAGTAGTTTAAAAATTGACAAATTGAACTCTATCAAAATGAAATAATCTGCTCTTTAGAAGACATCATTTTAAAATGATTTCAAGCCATATGCTAGGAAATATTTGCAAAGTACATATCTGACAAAGACTTTTATCCAGAATCTATAAAGAAATTGCTACAACTTAATAATAAAAAGATACACATCCTGGCTTCTTAAAAGAATTTTAACTGATAAATAAAAGTATAAAAGTTGTACATATTTATAGAGAACCATGTGACTGATGTTTCAATATATGCATATACTGTGAAACGTTTCAATCAGGTTAAACATATCTATCTCCTCAGACTTTTCCTTCATAGTGATGGGAACCCAACTGAGGGCCTCGTGTACGCTAGGCAAAAGCTTTACCACTGAGCTAGCCCTATCATTTCTTTATAATGAAAACAAAACCTTTTCTTCTAGCTTTTTGAAGTACACAGAGGTTATGACTAAGTCACCTTCCTGTGCAACAGCGCACCTTAACTTTGTACTCCTCTAAATTAGTCCCACTTAATCAATCTTCTCCCCATCCTGTCTCCCTACTACCCTTCCCAGCTTCTAGTAACCACCATTATACTCTCAACTTCTGTGAGGTCAATCTTATTACATTCCATAAGTGACTATATTTGCCTTTCTGTGTGTATATTTCACTTTCTACGAATATTTCTACATTATCCCAAATGACAAGATTTCATTCTTTTTTATGACTGAATAGCATTACATTGTGTATATGTGTATAATCTTTATCAATTGATGTATTCTTAGGTTATTTCCATTTCTCGCCTTTTGTCAATAGTGCTGCATTAAATGTAGGGGTTCAGATATCTCTTCTCTGACTACCTTTTCTTGGGTGTATACCCAGTAGTGAGATTGCTGTAATGGATGATAGTACTATGTTTAATTTTTTAAAGGAAATTCTCTGTTTTCCATAATGCTTGTACTAATCTACATCCTCATCAATAGTGTACAAGGGCTCCCTTTTCTCCACATTTTCCCCAGCACTTGTCAATTTTTGTCTTTTTGATAATACTCACTCTTACTGAAATGACCTTATTTCTTGTGGTTTTGATTTGCTTTTCCGTGATGATTAGTGATGTTGAGCACTTTTTGATACACTGATGGCCTTACGTATGTCTCCTTCTAATAATGTCTATTGAGACTGATTGCTCATTTTAATTGGATTATTTGGTTTTTTGCTATTGAGTTCTTTGAATTCCTTAAATATTCTGAATATTAACCCCTTTTCAGATCTGTATTTTGCAAATATTTTTTTTTCATCTTTTAGGTTATCTCTTCTAGTGGATGATTATGTCCTTAGCTGTACAGAAGCCTTTGAGTTTAATGTAATCCTATCAGTCTAGTCTTTCTTTTGTTCCATATACTTTTACAGTTTTCTCCAAATAAAATTTTTTACCCATTCCAATGTCCTGAAGTATTTTCCCTATTTTCTTCTAGTAGTTTCCTAGTTCCAAGTCTTATATTTAAATCTTTAATCCATTCTGAGTTCAGTCTTATAACTAGTGACAGACAGGGGCTAGATTCATTCTTCTGCACGTGGATATCCAATTTTCCTACCACAATTTATTGAAAAGATTGTTCTTTCTCCGAAGACTGTTTGTAGCACCTTTATAAAAATCAGCAGTACATGTGTAGGTTTAATTTCAGGTTTTCCGTTCTGTTTCAGTCATTTATGTGTCTGTTTTTATGCCAAAATTATTGGCTATATAGAAATGCTATTTATTTTTGTATGTTGATTTGCAGCTTTGCTGAATTTTCTTATTAGTCCTAATAGGTTTTTGGTAGAGTATATGGAATTTTCTAAATAAAAGATCATGTCATCTACAAACAGTAATAATTTGACTTCCATTCTTTCCACTTTGGATGTTCTTTATCTCTTTCTCTTGTGTGACTGCTATGGCTAGGATGTTCAGTACTATTAAATAAAAATATTGAAAATGGAATCACTTTCTTGTTCCAGATCTTAGAGAAAAAGTTTTTAGCTTTTTTTCAATCAGTATGCTAACCATTAGCTTATTACAAATGACCTTTTTATGTTGAGGTACTTTCCTTTGATGCATAATTCATTTAAAATTTTTACCATGACGAGATGCTGACTTTTATCAAATTCTTTTTCTGCATCTATTAAGATGATCATATGGGTTTTGCTTTCATTCTGTTGATATGGCATATCAAAATTATTGATTTGTGTGTGTTGAACCATACTTGTAAGCTTGAAATGGATCTCATTTGATCATGGTGAATAATCTTTGTAATGCATTGTTGGATTCAGTTTGCTAGTATTCTATTGAGAAATTTTTGCACCTACGTTCAAAATATTTGAAAGGATATTTCCACAAATACGATGTTAATGGTAAATAATCATATAAATGAGTAACAACATTAGTTGCCAGAAAAATACAAAATAAACCGATAATAAGTACACATCTATTAAATGTGACAGTACCAAGTGCTGGCAAGAGCATGACCAATTGGAGTTCTTCTATATTACCAATGACAGTGTAAATAATATTACCATTTTGCAAAGCAGCTTGGCAGTGTCTTCTAAAATTAAACACTTTTCTTAGTTCCCATAAATTATCATTTATAGGCAATGCCCAAGAGATATGAAAACATGTTCACACAAAGACCCATGTGTGAATATTCATGGCAGCTTTATTCATAATAACCAAAAACTGGAAGCAACCCTACTGTCTATGATCAGATGAGTACATTACTGAACTGGCATACATCCCCATCCACTTAAGTGATACTACTCTTTAATAAGTGGAAAATTAAAAATTTGTTGATATTTTCAATAAAATGAATAAATTTCAAAAACATTATGTTAAATACAAAAATCCAAACACAAAGACTATGTACTGTATGATTCCATATATATGAAACTATAGAAGAAACACAAAATTTAACAGTGATTGGCATAGGCATAGGATAGTTGGGACACAGTGACTGCAAAGATAAGCAGGGGAGATTGAGGGGTGACCAAAATGTGACTACATCATGAGTATAGTGACAGTTTACACAACGATCTATACTTGTGAATTTATAATATATACATATATATACATATCTATATATGATTGGTGGGTTTTCCTTTATGTAATTTTTAAGTTTTTTTAAATTTTAATTGACATACAGTAATTGCAGATATGGGGTACAGTATAACATTTTAATACATTTGTACAATGTATAATAATTAGATCAGGATAATTAACATATCAATAATCTCAGATGTTTATTATTTCCTTGTGTTGGAAATATTAAAAATCCTCCCTACTAGCTATTTTGAAATATACAATCAATTAACTTCCACCATAGTTATCCTATTCCACTATAGAACATTAGGAATTATTCTTCCCACCCAACTGCACCTCTGCACCATTCTTTCTGCATTCTTCCCTCTCCCATACACTTTCCAGGCTCTTGTAACTACTACTCTACTCTCTATGTTCACGAGAATATTATTGTAATTTGTACCTGAAAAAACCTGCAAAAATATATAATTCATGTCTTTTGCTAGACACAACGAACCCTTTGATTGCACAGACTATATATCACTAATGCCTCTCTCAGTCCCAAAAGCTGATTGATAATCACTAAATGAAGGAATAAGTGAATGAGTAAATGAACAACTGGCACAGAAGTCATATCCTATAAGAAACCAGAAAGCAATTGTTTACAAACAATATGTTTGCCTTCAATACTAAAAGTATTCCTATACTAGAATTATTGAAGTTCTCAGAGGACATCTGAGACCTAAATACAATGTCAGTTCTTTATAAGACATTATACTGCTGCGTATCAGGATTCTTTCTTAGCTTTGGCTTATGTCCAGTAAAAAAAAATCCTGGCAAGATTTTTCACATTTATTGATATCCTTATTACCGCTCAAAACTCCTGAAATTTCATTTTATTTATTGGTCAGTTTTCCAAATGACACTCTCCAAGAACTTGTATCATTGCACTTCTTTGGCAATTTCAGATACTTGTTCAGATGACCTGGGAATAAAGTTTGATTCTAAGGTGAATAGCTTCATATATAATTCAATTTTTAATAACATCAAGTTGAGTCTTTTAGCTACTTTCTCCTCAAAAAACTAATTTTAGTTGTCAACAAAGCCTGAGCCAGCAACATAGATTTAGAACTCAGATTTTAGTTTTTACTTTAAAAAAATATTTCAAGGCTCATTTTTTTAAGAGAACAATATATGTGTTGCACACATATATTATATATATTTATATATTATATATATTTATATATTATATATTATATATAAATATATATAATATATAAATATATACATATGAAGCTTGCTTAGATAACTTGCATTCTGCTTCTGAGGTTGAGGTACATCTGTGTGACACTTGGGCTCTTCTAGCCATTCACACCACACCAATCATTAAAGAACAACTGCTGCTAGGATCAAGCATTAGCAGTCATCCTATCTACAAACAGGCTCCCATCTCCCCAAGGTCTGTACCTAAGCAGAACCCAACTCAGTTCTGTGGGGAGACAAGAGTATGTGTTTCCTATGGTCATGTCCTGTGATACAATCCACAACTGTGCAGAAAGATTCCTAAAATGGTGTCTTAGTCACTTTCCTCACTCCTGAGACAAAATGCCTGACACCCACAACTTAAAGGAGGAGAGGCTAATTGTGCCCTACAGTTCAGAAGTTTCAGTCTGTGTTCAGCAGGTTTAAACACAGAAACAAAATGGGAGAAGGCCCTGTGCAGAAGAAAGCTGCTTACAACATGGCTGCCAGGAAGCAGAGAAAGAAGGGATGAGCCAGAGAGGAAGCTATGCCTTTCCAGGTCACACCAATAGTGACCCATCTCTTCAGACCAGACCCCACCTCCCTACAACAAGTTAGCTATAGTGTCCCTAATTCACTCACCTTCCAGAAGTGCTTCCTCTGAGAATATGAGGCTTTGGGGGGACATCTAGAGCAAACCACAAAAAAATGGTAAGTTATATTAACAGAAATATTTGCTATTGGAAAATGCCCTCTGTGATCTAAATCAAAAGAGTAGAAAATCTGTCACAGATGTGAGAGGCCTACTCCATAAGCTCATATATGGCTGTCACATTCAAATGCCTTCAGTCCCCTAGAAAGAAATGGAAGCCAGCCATGATAGCTAATACTCTTTAATAGAAGTCATTCAAGCATTGACCTGTTATGAACCAGAGGGTTCTCATGGAGAACCATGGGAACTGACCTCCAGCAAAGGTAAGTCTAGATTTACTAATAATCTATAAAATGCATAAGTATATAACTGAGTATGAGCAGAAATTTAAATCTATTGAGTTGTGCAATAAAATCCTTAACTGAAATAGATGGAAAGTCCTTTATAAAATGTCCTTCCTCTCTAGCTGTTCAGGTGGTTTCAATTTGCATATTTCTTTCCTGAGATCATAGGTTCTGCATGAGCTGCTTACACAGGACCTTTCCCATAGACCTGATCATTGTTGTCTGTTATCCAAAAAAAATAATTGGTCACGTATGAAAGCCTAAATGCTTAGAAAACAAAGGAGAAAATAATAGTCATTTCATGCTTTCATTTTTTTGTTAGAACATTTTATTTGTTGGTTGATGTGAAAATAGACAAAGACTGGAGAGCCTAGCACAGTGTAATCTCAACATTTAAAAGAACTATACTGAACACATTCTTAAATCTCCAAATTGAAGAATATGGAAATGTTTGCTCAGTTTTCTGGATTTTTTCCAGATCATATTGTCAAGAAAGAATTCTATGTTTCCCGTGTATTTCTTAAAATGCCTTTTCAACTTTTACTACATTTTTGAGCAATATTTGTACCAGCTTGAATATTTGCCAAAACAGCATCATGAGTCATCATTCTCATGTGGAGCTTATGAATAAAATGATTCACACACTACAAATTCAAGCTACATCAACTTCAACATACTAATTCATTTACATTTTATATTTTCTAGCTAATTTTAGTACTTTCCTAGATTTTTGAATTTTTTTATTTGATTCCAAAATGAGTTCTTACTTTTTCATGATTACTTTTATTTGTTTGCAAACTTTTTTTTTTTGGTACCAGGGATCGAACTTGGGACCTTGTACTTGTGAGGTAGGCGGCAGAACCACTGAGATAAATTCCCTGCCTTGTGATTACTTTTATGCAATAATGCTAAGTAAATAAAGAAATATAAAAGAATTTTGCATCATATTCCAAACTGTGAGAATGTATATAAAGAAGAAAAAGCCAGTGAACTCTGAATAGTTATCATGGTTACTTTCCATTTCAGTGGTCACTTACTCGTTTTGCTATAAATGGATGGAGATGTCTGTTTTTCCACAACAATCATATTGACTTATTGTGGAAACAATGATGTTCTCTGGAATGTCTCTTTCAGTTTATATTAATCATTTCTTCCATAAAACAATACTTCAAATGTAAAAGTATGCTGAAAATGAAATCATAAGAATCACATTTAAATGCTTGACACTAAATCTCTCATCAACTCACATATTTTAACTTTTAAAAGAAATTAAAGAATGGTAATTTTTAAAATAGCTGAGATTTTCATAAGTAAAATAATTGGTAAGCCATAGCAAATTTACTTGTACTTGAATTTTACAGAATTTGCTCAGATATACCTCAGTTTAAGGAAATATAATATCATTGCTTCAGAACTACTAAAACAAAGTAAACTAAGATTTAAATAAATTAGGTCAATGAGCCCCTCCGAATGATAGAATCTTGGTTCTACAAAATGTGGCTGTAGCTCTGAAGTACTACACCAAGAAAATTTGGCAGTGGATGCTTTTACTAACCTTTGTTTCTGTTATATGGTGGTGGAATAAATCTATTTAGAAATTAGTACCATTTGTCTTTATTTTCTAAAAGATTCATCTTTCAAGGTATAATTTATATGTTAAATCTCTGCTCTCACTGAGAGTTCTACTAACATCTATGGCTAAACTATCCTATCATTTATTTCAACCCATAATTGGTGAAGCTTAGAACATTCCTATTTCTATCAAATTCCTGTGATCTTAGAATAATATAAAATAATTACACTGGAAAGTATGCAGATAGATACAAATAGTGTGATACACTGAGACATAAACATTGGGAAGTGATAATACTGGCACTGCAAAAACATATATAAGGAAAAAAGTAAATCTTCCTGAACTTTCAGCTACTCCTGACCCCTCAAAGAATTTTTAGATCATTTTGCAATGGTGGCATTCCTGATCATGGTATCTCTCCTGCCAGGTAAGTATTGTAATGGTGGCATTCATAAAGAACAGTTTTTACATGGGTCTAGAGGAGTTTGGTGATGTCAGTCAAGACCACTCCTCTGGCTCCAAGGAGAAGTGCTTAGCTCTATTGAGCATCAGGTCACTGAAGAGCTTGAAATTGTAGAAATTTGTTTCTTAGAAAACAAATAAGCAATTGCTGGCCAGCCTTAGAGAAATACAGGATAAGACAACATAATTAGTAAAAGCATTGGTCTTGAAGTGAGTTAAGCCTGAGTTTGAAGCATCATTTCCTACCTGGTTAACTTAGGGAACTCATGTTACACCCTGAAATGAAATTTTCAGCCTGTTTCCTCCTCCATATTAAGAGAATGATAACCCCCTCCTTTAGAGGATCCTTGTAAGAACTAAAGATAGTATATGACATCATTTAGCATATTGCCAATTCTGTACATAGCTCAATTAGTGATAGCAAGTACATTCATAGTATTTAGAATTGTTCTATTTAAGATGCAAGAACTGCAACTGGAACTCCAGACCAGATTTCCAAACAAGGACATGGGGTGGGGCAGGGGGAGGGGAAGGGGACAAAGAACAACAAAAAGAAAAGGATTCATTTGTAGAAATTGAGTTACAAAATTGGGATGTTGTGACAAGATCTAAGCTAATGGGAATGATTAGGAGGAGCTTGGATCTATATACTAAATGAGCATCCTAGAAAGAATTCAGTTCTGGGGTCTAGACTTAGCTGCTTGCAATGGGAAGCAGGGGGAGCACAGGTGATGAAGGTCAGAGACAGTGAACAAGCTGATAGGAACATGACAGAGATCTAGAAAAATAGGCCAGGAAGCTTTGAATTCAAGTTAGATGACTAAATAAGTACTCTCATATTCCTGGTGAAGTGAAAGGAAAGATACGTAAAAAGAATAATACCAAAAGACAAGAAGTTTTTCCTACTAACTATACTGGACTATAAAAGCCAGCACCTTCTTATAAGCAGCAAATATTTATTGAATACATACTAAATAAATCTAGGTATTAAGCATTATGATAGCCAAGAACCCTGCTCTCAGGAAGTTAAATTCTACTGAGGTAGTGGAAATTAGGTAAGGAGTATAAAACATGCAAAATTAGTGTTATGAATCGCATATTTATATTTCTTCCAAAATCCACATGGCTGACTCCAATCCTCAATGTGATGGTATTTGGAACCGTGGCCTTTGGGAGCAATTCAGTCAGTGGGGTAGAGCCCTCATGAATGGGATTTCTGCCCTTGTGATAAGAGGCCAGAGACTTAACCACTGTCTTTTTGCCATTTGAGGTTAGAAAGAGGAGTCCACTCACCACAATTTGGAAGGTACTCTTCTCCAGAACTCAATTATGCTGGCACCGTGATCTCAGACTCCCAAACTTTGAGAAATAAATACTTGTTGTTTAAGCCTCCTAGTCTCTGGTAATTTGTTATAATAACACAAATAGAACTATGCAAGATTAAAGAGTAAATGCCAAGTTCTGACCAACCAGGTAAGATTATGCTATGGATGCATTATTGTACATCCCAGACCCCTATGTAAGAAGTGAAAATTTATACTTCTGGGTGTTGTGAAGCTTATAGACCAGTTAGCTTGAATCCAATGATTAGTAAAGGACAGGATATAGAAATACAATCTCTCCATCCAACTTAGCCCGACTCCAAAGAGCCATTCTATGGGACTAAGGCCTAATTATGACTAAACCATGATCCAGCTTCTCCATCCATTTTATGGTGCTTGTATCTTTTTCACCACAACTGTAAATCTTGATGGCACTCATTAGCCAACTTCCTTCTTGAAGATCCTCTTTTCAACTCCCTTTGGGTCTGTGGTAGACAGAATTCTAAAATGGCCCCATGAATTCAGCTACCTAGTGTAAACACCTTGTATAATCCCATCTCCTTGAGTGCTAAAAGTATGATGTCATATCATGCTCACAATTAGATAATATTTTTGCAGATCCAGTTAAGATTCTTAGTCATTTGAGATAGAATGAACAAGGAAGAGATTAGCATATATGTATCTGATCTAATCAGGGGATTTTTCTACTGTGTTATGAGAGGAGCACGTTCTAGAGTCATCAAATAAACAGGAAGAAAATGGGGTCCTTGGAATTAGGCAGTCAGCTATAGAGGACCAAATTCTGCCAGTAAACTACATAAGCTCACAATGGATTCCTCCTTAATCAAGCTTCCAGATGAGAACACAACCTGCACAACAGCTAATTCATTCTTACTTTCAGTCAAGAGCTAGGGCTTCTGACCTACAGAAAGCATATGATAATAAGTGGCTGTTGTTCTAAATTACTATGGTTTTGATCATTTGTTATTCAGCATTAGAAAACCAATACATGAACATGAGATTATATTAATATGAAACAGAATAAAGTTTGCTAAAACCCTAAATGAGTATAGAAATTTTTCCTGGAAAAGCCCCCAAAACATTCTATATTTGAAATCCCAGAAGGTAGAACAAGTGGGAGTTCTGGATCTGAAACCAGGAAGGACATCAGGGAATAGTCTATTCTGAAACAACTGGGCCAGGGTATCTCTCTACTTCCCCTGCTTATAGAAGAGAGCTGATAGAAGCATTTTTCTCAGTTGAATCTCAGAAGTCTTCCCTAACAGTATAGTTTTGTTTAGAAGAAGCTCAAGATGACACTATAAAAATAGAGATAAAGAGCAGACCCTGTGGTAACTCAGGGCCTCCACAAAAATCTTGAAACAGGGAGCAAGAAAACTACTCCACTTGGGGAAAAGATGGCTGTATAAGTTGTCGTCCAAATAAGTCTTCTTTAGGGAATGAAGGGGAGGCACTAACAGAAATTATAATACACCAATAGGCAAGTGTGATCACCCTGCTGGAGAGTGAAACACACTAAAGCCCTTCACTCCTAAAAACAGCCTTCCTTTAGCTCTTGTGCAGGTTTCTTTCTATCAATCTGTTCCCCATCCTCTACTGTATTTTCATACACCCCATCCACATATAATAAGTCTGCAGGGTTTTTTCATGGGAAAGAACTTGGACTAGAAAGATCTAAAATGAGCAAAGCAAGATTGTTCAAGTCACATGTAAGAGAACCAAAAATACTTGCTTTTATGGAAAACCAAGAGCATGAGAAAAAATTTCAAAAATACAGACTTCTCCTATATGAAACAAAAACGACACTATGAAAATTTCAGAATCATTCCAGTCTCAGATTCAGTGTGCTCTACCATAGCAAAGCAAGAATAGGCTGTTACCAGACAGGAAGAAGTGCTTAGAAATTGAATCTATTTGCTGAAGTTAAAATACAAATAGAAATGCTTAACAAATAGAATCCTTATAAATGACATAGAAAATAAAACAACAGAATCTCCAAGAGCATTTAGCAAAATGACAAAATGGAAAAATATGAGAAAAAAGTTAGGAAATATGAAGGAAAAAACTCAGAAAATCCAAGAGCTACTTGATAGCAGTTATAAGAAGAAAAGATCAATAAATGAATAAGGACAAAATGATACCAAAATATGATGATGATTTCCCTGACTTTAAATACACATGCAGACACACACACACATGCACACTTGCATGCTTACCCTGAAAATGCTATCTGAATGCCAAGCAAAGAGTGATGATTCATACTTAGAAATAGTCTGGTAGGGCCAGGGATTTAGCTCAGTGGTTCCGGTGCCCGCCTTGCAAGCGCAAGGTCCCGAGTTCGATCCCTGTTACCAAATAAAAAAGAAAGAAAGAAATAGTCTGGTAAAGTTTCAGAACTATAAATACAAAAATCAAAGTCTAAGATGTGGAGATTTGGACCTTGGGCAGTTTTCTTTACATATGAACTCCAAATGTTTACAGCAATGTCACAATTCCTTTGAGATTCTTAGGGAAAATCACTTTGAACCTATATTTCTATAACCAGTTAATTATCAATCAAGTGTTAAAAATAAAATCAAGACTTTTCTGACAACCAATTTAAAAACTTACCTTCAATATATATTCTTTTTTTTTTAAAGTCACTTGCATATGTATTTCTGTAAAAATCTGCCATGATGAAAACATATGTTTCTCCTGTCAGTAACAAGAAAGGGAGAACTGTTAGAAACTCAGAGAAAGGAAACCAAATGCTTTATCAAAAAGCCATTCAAGTATGAATAAAATTATAATGTAGCATGATTTTGAGTTATAGACTGAGTTTAAGAGATGCCACTTTTCCTTGATGCTTGGAGCATTCATTATTAAATGTCACATATTTAATGACATTGGTTTGTATTTTCCTCTCTTGAAGTACAACCAAGCCACTTTAATTCTTCAGTGAATAATGTATACATAATAATAAAGTTGTAAATGCCATTTGCAGCATTCAGCTTTTCAAATCAACTTATATACAGCACTTAGAAAATTTAATTATAGTTTTGGACTAGAAAATAAATGTTCTAAATCTTAACAATATAAAAAATAAAGCAGGGGCCGGGGATTTAGTTCAGTGGTTTTGCTGCCTGCTGCGCAAGCGCAAGGACCTGAGTTCGATCCCTGGTGCCAAAAATAAATAAATAAATAAAAATTAAAAATAAAGCAGAAGTCTTGATATCAGAACTGAAATATAGAATCAGCTGGATTTAGGAAAGAAGGTTTAATTAAGCACTCTTCAAGTTATGGATTAAAAGTTCATTAATTTCATCCTCTTTGCAATTAATAAGGGAAGCCAAACGTCAACGGGAAGCCCTCGTTATGAGTATTTAAACATATAGAAAACGTGAAATTTCACAGAAATCATTTGCTGCGCTTCTAAAGCTCTCATCCCCTTCCCAAGATTCTACCATAACCTCATTACCTTTTCCTTTTCCTCATAATTTATAGCAAACAACAGCAAATAGTTTACAAATCTTAGATTTCATGATAGTTTTCATTTGTACAACAATGTCCATATTTAGCTTCCATAATGATGTATCTCACAAAAATTATGAACCCCATTTTCTCACAAAATGAAAGCACACTCTTGATTCCGATGGGATTGATCATTATTGCATCAGTTATTCCAAACTTAGAATTTGTAACAGATAAAACTTAAAATTGCACTGTTCTTATATACATGAATTTATTCCTTGTTCAGCAGCGGGTAATGAGGCTGGTTCAGCTTCACTCAGTCATTCAGGGATCTGAGCTAACAGAGGCTCTGCCATCTTCAATATATAACTTGCGGATAGCCTGGAGCTGAGTCATCCAGCCAACAGATGGCAGAAGCAAGAGAAGAGCGGAGCAATCATATGAGGTATTATGGGACAGACCTAAAAGTAGGACGCACAATTTCAGTCCACAATACGTTGGTCAGGACTTAGTCATAGGTCCACAGATAATTTCAGGGAAATATGAAATATGATCTAGCTAATTTCCCAGGTGGAGGGAAACTGTTTAGTGAATAGGTAGCCAATAGGCCACTGTGAATGATATTTAAAATGTTAATAAAAATCCAAAATGCTTGCAGAGAGGTTAACCACTGACTCAGCCCTAGCTTATCATTAGTTTGCAAGTAGGTGAAGGACAGAAAACATGGCTTAAACATCTTTGCATTTTTAGTACCTTCATTTGCACAAGTAGGTGTTTGAGAAAATCTTGAAGGAATTAATTTACTTAATTATATTCTAGTAGCAAGACAAATTAATGCAGCTACCAGGGTGAAAAATAATCTCCTTTCTAAATGAAAAGATCAAGCCAAGTATTTTGAACCAATTATATTTTTATTAAAATAACTACAATACAATGAACTCATAATTGGTTATTCCAAATAATAGCTGAGCTAGTGAATTTCAATATTTGTTTTATTATTGAATGCAAAAGCAATGGTAAAGACTGTAAAATACATGCATTCTCTCATTTTTCTTGAGAGAACGAAAATATGCAGGAAATATTTAATGATACAATGAATTGGTAATTTCCTAATTTACTACAAAGGAAGAAGCATTTATCAGGTGATGTTTACATGTGTATGCTGCAACAAACTATTAAAGTAGTGGACCTAAATCTCATAAATCAACCAAACAAGTCCTCAAATTCAGCAACTGTTACCAGGGCACCTTAGCCTCCAATTCAGAGTCCATGAAAAGGATGAAAAAGAGACAGACTGATGGAGGAAATTTTTTAACTATATGGGAAAGAAGTTGCATAAACTGATGGGAACAGATTGTGAATCAGATCATACGACGTGAGGGGCAGAGATAGAAAAGAGATCCCAAAAGGCATTCATTGTCTTTTGCAGTTTAATTACAAGCCATTAACAATATCATCTATTACACATAATCAAAAACATCAAATGTAGTTTGGTTACGTGTGAAAGTGTATGAGTATAAAAAACTAAGTTTCATAGAGACATGAAACAAATATCATTTATCACAAAGTGGTTATTTATACATGAATATCATGTACACAATATCAAAAGTGAATACCAGGGAGTAGACTGCTTAAAACGTGATAGTTGAGGTAACAGGTGCTAGTAAAGACCAGGTATCCAATGTGATGTTGGTATAAGAGGCTGAGATGGTGGTAGGGACAAGACAGTTAAGGATAGGAGACTAGGAACTGGGAGGCCAGTTGATCAGAATAGTACACGGATGCTCTTCTACCTACCATGAGCTCATATCCAAATATGTGCATCAGAAGTTTAAAATATGCTAAGTCAAAAATGCACTTTATACTCCTAATCCACCAAACATAGCTTAGCAACAAAGTACACTAATAGAGTATTAAATGTTTACCCTTGTGATCACCTAAGTGGAGCTGAACATAGCTGCCAGCATCCACAGAGTATCATGTCTCTTATTGCTAGCCCGGTGAAAGACTACAACTCAAAATTCAAAGTATGGTTTCTACTAAACAGGTGTAAGTTTTACAACATAGTGAAGTTGAAAAATTTTAAGTCACACCATCATAAGTCAGGGACTATCTATATATGTGGATAACCCAATAGCTAAGAAAGATGACAAATGTGATACAGAGAGACTCACAGTGAGCAGAGAGAAACCTTCAAGCTCCAAGAGACCCAGGACTTGGTAATAACCACAACAGGGAAAGGTGATGTACATGCAGTGGACTCTGATAACATAAGAATCAAAGCTCAGTTTTCTTTCACTAGGGAGGCGGTGAGAACGGTTTGCAAACACCAATAAAAATACAAGAAGGTAGGAAAAGTGTGTAAGAGAACACAGATTCCAGATGACAGGGCTGCAGAGAAAGCTGTGTCTTTGGGGAAGAGCTAGGGGAACACAGCAGATTTTGCTAATGACGGACTATTGTGTTCTCTGAGTGAATAGCTCCAGTTGGCAGGAGGCCTTCAGTAAATGGGGCTTCAGGACACCATCCATGACAGAGCAGTGAATTCAAAGCCAAAATGAACAAAAAATAAGTGCAAGGTCTCTCTTGCTCTTTCATATTCTGAGGAAGAGGGAGAGCCATGTAGAATTTGAGGCCTGAACATACTGCCACAGTTGTAAGCCCAGAAAAGAAAATTGTTTCAGGGGCCAATTGTGATATACTACTTTTGAAATTTCATTTGCTTTTGTTTTATATTTAGGAAGTGCTTAGTTTTACAAATGCAAAGCTTGGGGCTCTAGTGGTGATTAGGTCATCAAATGATGAAAACTGAATAAATCAGCATACTAGCTGGGCTGCTAGATTAAATCAAGGAGGTTTCATTAGAATTTCAGAAGGATGCTCACATTTTTTATATTTGAAATTATTTGCAGTTTGTGCTATTAGAAAGGGAACCTCACCAGATTTGGAGTTGTAAAAGGAGACAGGGAGACATTTCCCCAACCCATTCCTTTTTCTTACCCCTAAAATCCTATAAGCCAACATCATCGTTTTCAGAATTTTATGCCTGTACAAGTCAAATGTGGTTGATAAGCCAAGCATGGCAGCACACACCTGTAATCCCAACACTCAAGAAGCTGAGGCAGAAGGATCACCTCAAGTTCAAGGCCAGCCAGAACTACATAGTGAGTTCAAGACCAGCCTGAACTACTCAACTCAGGTATATTTTGGGGCATGGGGTTTTTCATAAGCTGAGACCCATGTATGGAATAATGACTTTCATATTTTATGACCACAGTCCACAATAAGAACTACATTTCACATTTTAAACCTATATCCATACATAGTAACAAAGATGTATAGTACATATAAGAAATAAATTTTTAATGAAAAAGATATTTGTTTTAGAATGTAAAAAGTATACTCCTGTTTTTATTCTATTTCATATTTAAAATGCTAGCCATGACTTATTAAACTGATTTTATGACTTATAATTGGTCACAAATGACAGTTTGGAAAATACTGATTGTGAAGGATAATCTAGATTTCTCCTATTTGTTTTTTTTCTATCGAAAGGAAAATTTTTAATTCCTGTGTCACTGAAATAAAACAAATACAACTATCTTTTAAAAATAACTATGAGAAAATAAAGATTGTACAATAACCATAATAGCTAACATTTAATGAATGTTGGACATAGAGCTAAATTTGTTTCACTCACTTTCTTATTTAATCATCACCTCACAGCAACCCTATGAGGTAAGCACTTTTTCCACAGTGCATTCTATACTTTACAAAATGGAACTGAGGGTTTTAATCCTACAGTATACTATATTGCCCCCATTTTCTTTTTTACATAGTTCACTGGACACTGAGGAACAGGGCAGGGCACTTTTGGGGGTTTCTATTATCACTGTACTTATTCTTCCATGTGGACCAGACATTTTCATGTTCATTATCTTTGCAACTCAACTTCTTAAGGTAGTACAACTTAAACTTTAGAAAACTCACACAATAGCTTTCAGAATTCTCATGCTTTTATCTGTTTCTATTTTCTATTCTCTGGTATCAGATGGCTTCCATCTCCTCAAAACGCTGCTGCTAGTTATCTAATTTAGCATTGTTAGTGGCTGCCAGAGAAACATTGAGATATAGCCATTTCATCAATTATCTCTAGCAGGGAGGATTTAGTGCTTTTTAAATAGGGCCACAATATCAAGTTCATCTACACTATTAGTGAGGTCTTTATCACTGCCAAGTTCAGA